GAAATACGTTTATTTTGTTTTTTAATTATAGCTTTTTTGAGCTTATGTTTAAGCTATTCAAATATAGAAAGGCTATTAGAAACTAATCGATTTCTTTTTTTAGATTTGACAATCCCAAGTGATAAAAAAAGATATTTATAGGCAGTACTATAGGGAACAATAAAAAAGATTTTTATTACAAAATAAGGATATTCTATAGAATAGGTGAGCAAACTCTGCAAACTCCACAACTCTGATATTAAAAATTAATGATTACTAATCATTAGTAAAGCTTATTTCTTATATTAGCTATCTATTCTATAGAATATCCCAAAATAGCATAAGAGGGTATACTTCTAGTAAAATCAAACCAAAATTGTTATAAAGGTTTTAAAATAGGTTGATCAAATAGAGGATTACTATTCTTATAACTAATTAACTTCTTGCATAACAAAATCGTAACTTTTTTTTAAACTCTCAACTCTTGGCTAATTCAAGAAAGTATAGATAATTTTATCTTCATTTATCTTACCAGAGATAGCTAGTTGCTTATGTACTGGAGAAAGAAAAAATATAACAAAACACATGTTGTAACAAACAATTTTAGAAAGATTAAATTAGATAATCAAGTTATACAAATTTTACATAAAGGAGATAGATATATATAATATAGGTCTATTAGAACTAGTTATACGTCGAGCAGATGCAAGACTAAGATATATCAACTGTATATTTCTTAACATGTTTTTACAAGAAGCTAAAAAAAGAGAAACAGATAATTTAGATTTTATAGCAGCAATCTGTATAGCAAAGAAATTAAACAAAAAAATAGTTAGAATATTAGCACTATTTGAACAAGTAAAAGACGTACTTCTAGTAGTCAAAGATAATATTCTAGATAAAGTTTTACAAAACTGGCAAGAAAAGACTATGCTAACCAAATTAAATCTTAGATCTATTAACTACTAGCAAGCATAAGCCTAAAAGAAATAACAAGAGAAGAAAACAAGATAAAAATTGTAAAAAAGAACTTACAAGTAGAACTATCAATACTAGAAAAGAAGTGATATTCAGAAGAAAAAAAAAAAAGAAATATCAATACAAACAAAAAATACTGATATTGATAGCATATAATACCAGATGCAGAGCTTAAAATTAACAACCAAGCAACAGAAGTAGGTAATAGTTAAACAAGAAGAAATCTTTTAGTTGACAGATGAAAAGAACGGAAAAAGAAAAACAAGAAAGAAATACAAGACAGATAGAGAGAAACAAAAAAATATACAATTAGTGTATAACAGAATAGAGATTTATCAAAAACTACGAGTTACTGTAGAAGCAAGCACAAGCATACAAAAGATTTAAAAAGAAGATCTGTTAATTACAAGAATTCTACTAAGTTAAAGTATGTAGATACCAAGCAGAAGACCTTATAGCAATATAGAAGAATACAAGGCCAAGATACTAGCTTATAACATATCAGAAGAAAATAAAAAACAATATATTAAAATGATAAAAAGAATACTAGCTAGCAACAGACATTTGAAAGAAGTCAAGAAAATATTCAAAAACTATAATAAATGAGTAGAAGTCACTTTTGACTATAAAACAGAAAAAAAAGAAGCAATAGAAAAAATAAATAAAAAACCAAAAATAGTTTAGAATGATACTAGAAAAGACACAATAACCAAAAAGAAGAAACAATACAATATATAAAAGCTCAAACATAGATGAAGCAAAGAAGTTAGAAAAAGGAAAGAGCTATGAGAAACAAAGAAGAAATAACAAGAAGATCTTTAATATAGAAACAGAAAACGAAAAATCAAGTATAGAAAAAGATGATGAGAAAACAATACATATAACAATATAAGATTTATCTAAAAAAATAGATTAAAAAGAAGTATATATTTGCAATAAGCTAGAAAAGACAGAAGAAATACAAATCAAAAAGAGCTTTTTGAAAGCATTAGCAATATTAAAAATTAGAAGAAAACTAAACAAAGAAGTTCTTTGGGCAATTTCAATTAGAGAAAAATTGGTAAGAATCATATCAGAAATAGAAGACTTCAAAAAAAGAGATAGTCAAAGTAATATAATAGCAAAACTAAGAAGATTACTGAGGGCATATTAGAGGTTTTACTACTTAACAATTTGAGAAACAAAGGGGCAAAGTCAGTCTATATACTGCACAATAGCAATAGAAGACAAAGAGCAATAGCAATTATAGCTTTTGAATATAAAGAAGACAAAAACAAAGCAATTACAAAATCGGTAAAATACAACAACTAGCTATTAGAATAGGAAGCCCATATATAAGAGAAGAAAATATGATAAGTGAAACTGAAGAACCAGACTGAAGCAGTATTAGCCGATGATCTTGAATAATTTATATAACCTTTATGATCTGTTATAGATTATTTGGTCATAACAAAGGTTGATATGACTTTATGATCTTTTAATATAGTAAAATTTATATAGTACATGACACTTAAAGACTACACAATTTTAAAGACTAATAATTTAATAAATGAAAATAATACAAACAAAAATAAGCTGCTAATTTGTAGCTAAGCCAATTTATTACTACTTAGTGGCTTTGCTTTTTGAAAAATTCTTGTATCTTTTAAAGTTATATAGACTTAAATATATGATATTTTGATACAATAATGTAAAAATTAATCAAAAATGGAACAAATACATCGGCCAATCAAATTAAATATATTGTATTTAATAATTTGATTGGCAGGATTTGTGGGTAAGATCACGTAATAGATTATCATATATAAATCAGAATCATTAAGTAAAAAAATCATTTTCATATAATGAAAGTGTAATTTGGCCTCGCTAATCTATATGAAACATAATTTGTATATAGTCATAATCTATGATTTGTGTGTAGCCCTAATCCTGATAAGAACCTGCATACGAAATCTAATTTGTGTATAGCCTTAATAAGAAACATATTCGTATTAATTCATGTACAGCAAGAATCTGCAAACAAAATGCATTTTCTTGTTAAATTAGATATTTTAATAAAGTATGAGGAAAAGAAAAAAAATGGATAATAAACTTAAGGAATACAATATGCAAAGAAAGAAGTTAGCCGAGAAAAGACGAAAAAAAGAAGAGTTTGAATGAGAAATTAGAGAAGAAGTATATGTTGAAGGCCAGAATATAGAAAGGATAGTGAGCTTGATAGGAAAGAGGAAGATAAGAAAGTAGTCGATTACGAAAATGAAAAAATATATGAATAATTACTTACTATATCTCCTATGTGAAAGAAGGAAGAAAAGAAGCTACGAATAATTAAAGGATTGCCAAAAACAACTTACTATCACAAGTTTGGCTCTTCTAGTACTCTGACTAATGCTGCTAAAGAAACCCGTAAAATTATAAGTTTTTTTGAGAACATAAAGTTAGTTAATAAGGGTTTTATTGTTTATGATTAATTTTATAATTTTATTGCTTGTTCAAAGTATCAGGCATATTGTTGTATAAGGCTTTATTAATGTTAATAAAAACCAAAAACTAAATTTGAACAAGTAGTATAATTTGAATCGAGTGTATAAGATACTAATTTATTACTTTATTTTTAAGTGATCTTATAGCTCCTTTAATGGATAATATATTATCTATTACAATAGATGAAGAATTATCTGTTACAATATATAAAGAAATAGTGCCTTCAGCAAATGAAGCCTTATCAGTTACAGTGTCTAAAAAAATAAACCAACTTCAGGAATATCTGATACAAAATAAGCATATAATCACAGCCTTTGAGTATAATGAGCATTAAGCAGTTTATGAATATTTTGTATTGTTAGAAGATGGGTATAGAAAAGAAAATGCAAGCCAGGAGGCTGCATATAAAATCTATCTCTTAGATTGTAGACCAACACAGGCAAATTTGCCTATATTGATACTATAAATATGCTACTAATCTATTTTTTTAACAATTTAGAATATTCAAATGAAATTTGATATAATAATATTTAAAAATATGGATTTATATATATGTACCCTAAGGTATATGTACCCTAGTCACATGTATATAATAATAATAGAAACTAACCCAGTATCACTATCAAAAAACGTAATTACGTATGTTTTGTGGCACAAACCAATAAGGTTTCAAAATTAGGTGTAATGTTAAACGATCAGAAAAAATCAAAACAAACATTTATTTTGCCCAAAGTCGCTCATAACTCAAAAATTCACAGAAAAAACCACCTTTAGCGTATTCAAAAATTTCCTTGGGTGATTTTACTACTATACCTCTGTTAACGCCTAACCAGAGCATAACACTAACACGAATCTCAAGAATTTTATTGTCATCACGTGACTGCATTGTTTGGTGTCGATACTGGAGTTAGTTTCTATTATTATTATATACATGTGACTA